GTTTAAATCCCATATAAGCTTTCCTTAAGCTTATTTAATACCCAAAGAGGTATCGATACTACCAACAATGCTCAAAATCTAGAATACAAAATGGTACCGATACCCAAAGAGGTATCGATACTACTATTAGTATCGATACCATCACGCCCCAACGACTAGTTGATTTAAAAATAACAAAGGTATTGTCGATACTCCCTTTAGGAGTACCGATACCCTCTGTACTGAGCAGTTTTATTTTGTAGAGATTTTACCCCCCAAACGGCTAGAAATCATCCTCAACGGCTAGAAATAGCCACAACCTCATTCCAACATATAAATACAAGTTCAATACACTTGAAGAAGAGAGAACACCTATCCAAGCAATCAAACACAAGAGAAGAGCTTTTCACTCTTTATTTTAATTATCTTGTAAATATTAGTGTTTTAGCGAGCTTAAAATTGTAAACACCTACCTTGTAAGGGTTTTCTTGTTTACATTATATTTCCTTTTGTAAAAGGGGTTTGGTTCTAGTTTAGCTAAGTGAAAAACTAGAGAGTGTAAAGGTTTTCTCTTAATCCTTTAAAAAGAAAGAACAAATTAGTGAATTTGTTAGAAAATCCTAAGTGAGGAGCTTAGGTAGTGGAAGTAGATTTAGTTAATAAGTTGTACCACTATAAATCCTTGTAACAGATTTCTATATTTTTTACTCTCCTAACTCCCTAAACAAATTATTGTCATTTCACCCATTGTGTAATTTTCGGTTTTTCAATTGAGCCTCTTCGATCCCAACAAAACTAGTTTAACGTGCTGAAAATGTCGATTTATATCTAATATAATGGATTGTAACTATTTTAAAATAATTTAAAATGGTTTAACCAAAAAACTTATCTTACAGGTTAAAAGTGGAATACAAAATGTTATAATACGAAACCAAAAACGTTATTAATGCAGTAACATAATAGATTTACACCTAAAATGTTATAAATGGTAAGAAAATAAGTTATAAACAATAAATGTTATAAATATTCTAACATTTTAGGATGTGCCTAAAATGTTAAAAGAGTTTAAGCTGACAGGGCCTTAGATATTACAACGATAACAAAATAAATTAAAAGTTGAAAATATTAATAATATCTATAAGAAATCTGGTTACGCAAAAAAATGTTATGGTTCACTAAAAAAGGGTTGCGACCTGAATATTATTTTTCTATGTAATAAAGTTGGTTGCGCCTAAAATATTACCAAAATTTAAGTTGATGGGACCTTAGACATCATCACGACAACAAAGTAAGTTAAAAGTTGATGGGGCCTTTTTCTCAAGTATCGATATTTTCGAATTAAAAAAAATGAAAAATAAGAATGATGCAAAGTATCGATACTTTTATTGATATTTTCGAATTAAAAAAACATGAAAAATGGGAATGTTGCAAAGTATCAATACTTTTCCACAAATATCAATACTTTCAAATTTTATTTTAACAAAAATAAGAAGGATGCAAAGGATCAATACTTTTCCACAAATATCAATACTTTCGAATTTTTAAAAAAATGGGAAATGAGCATGTTGTAAAGTATCGAACTTTTTCACAAATATCATAGCATAAGTATCGATATAAATGAAAAATATTGAACATTATAATATATGTATTGATATTTTGCAGTCTTCTTATTTTTCATTTTTTTAATTGGAAAGTATCGATACTTGTGGAAAAGTTTCGATACTATCGACTTTTGTATAACAACAATATTGACATTCTAGATTGCAACCTACTTTTTTAGTGAACATAACATTCTTGGTGCAACTAGATTTTTTTTATAGATATTCATAACATTTTCAGCTTTTAACTTATTTTGTTATCGTGAGAAATTATAAAGCCTCGTCAGCTAAAACTCTAGTAACATTTTAGGTGCGGCCTAAAATATTAATAATATTCATAACATTCACTGTTTATAACTCATTTCTTACCGTTTATATCATTTTAGGAGCAACCTAACATGTTAAAATATTCATAACATTTATCGTTTATGACTTATTTTCTTATTGTTTATAACTTTTTTATGTGCAACCTGTTATGTTACAATGATTGATAACTTTTTCAATTATGTGTTATAACATTTTGTGTTCCGCTTTTAATCTATCATCTTTTTAACCGGTTACACCATTTTATTAGCTTTATTGTAGGCGCCTTACGGTAGAACTCCCCAGGATCCAATTCCTTAAACATTCTATGAAATTATTTTCCTCAAATCTAGAGTGCTCTGAAAACTTGGCAAAAAGTAAGTTAATAGTATTTTTATAGATCTGAGATAAATAAAGATAATAATTGTTTAAAGACTCTCAATTATTTGATAATAAACGTGCATACCATTGGCATTTGCAGTGCTGTAATTCAGGATTTCAATAAATAACAATAAATCTCTTAACTGATGAGGTCGCTTGGTTTGTGTCAAGTTAATAGTATATTTTGGTCATTCTTTGGAAATTGTTTTCAATTTGAAATGGTTGACTCTAGGGGTGATCATTCGATCGAATCGAGTCAACAAATTTTGAGTTATTCGAGTTTACAAGTCATATTTTATGACTCGAATTTAACTTAAAATTTTCCAAGTCTAGTTTAAGAAATTCGAGTCAAATTGTTCAAATTTCTATACAAATTTAACTATAATTATTAATAGTAGTATAATACGAATTGGTTCCAATTTTTTTGGGGTAAATTACACTGTTCCTCACTAAACTTTACTCTCTCTTATTTTTCTCATCTTACTTTCAATTTTTCTATTTTACTCACTGAACTTTATAGATTGAATCATTTTGCTCACTCTGTCATTAACTCTCTAATGGTGTGATGACATGGCACAAGCATCAAAACAACTTCATTTTAAAAAACTCAAATATACACCAAAACAACGTTATTTTGAATCATCTTCATTCCCTCATTGACACTGCCAACCACCACGTCATTTTTCATTCCGACCATTGTCGACCGTCGTTGATGGTGGTCATTCGGTCACAAAATTCATGGGTCTGTTTGTCTCGACCCCCTGAGTCCAAATATGGTGGTTGTTTCACCGAAAAATATCCCAAAATCCATGAACCTCGACTGAAACTTTTCGGCTTCCTCACATTCAATCTTTGATTTGTGGACTTTAGAGCAAGTTTCGACACAATTAAGATCAAATTCATACTAAAGGTGTGATGACATGGCACAAGCATCAAAACAAATTCATTTTAAAAAACTCAAATATACACCAAAACAACGTTGTTTTGAATCCTCTTCTTTCCCCCATTGACGCTGCCAACCACCACGTCATTTTTCATTCCGATCGCTGTCGACTGTCGTTGATGGTGGCCATTCGGTCACAAAATTCATGGGTCGGTTTGTCTCGACCCCCTGAGTCCAAATCTGGTGGTTGTTTCACCGAAAAATATCCTAAAATCCATACTAAAGGTGTCAAATTCATGGACTTCTGAGCAAGTTCTGACACAATGAAGATCAAATTCATACTAAAGGTGTCGAAATGAAGCAACCCATGAAATTTGGGACCAAACAACCACCATCTACGGCGACTACAGTGTCATCTAGCTACCTTCTATTTTTATTTTATAGTTGAGTGAGCAAAATAGGAGAAGAAGTAAAGTTCAGCGAGGAACGGTGCAATTTACCCTTTATATTTTCAATTATTTTATATTAAAATAGTAATAAAAAATGACACGTCATCACACCTTTAAAGAGTTAACGGTAGGGTGAGCAAAATGATTCAATTTGTAAAGTTCAATAAGAAACGATATAATTTACCCTTTTTTATTTTCTCTAACTATAATATATGTATATATATTATTTCATATTCTTTTCGCATTATAATGTTATTTAATATATTAAATGCAATCTAAAATTATAAAATATATTTATAATATTATATTTTAAAGAATATATTTTGAGAATAAAGTATTAATCAAAGTATAAATGAGTCAATGAACTAATGGAAAGAAAGAATTTGCAAACAATTGCAATCAAAAGATCAAATAAGATAAAATGTAAAGTTAAGGGGTTAAATTAAAAAAGAGTAATTTTTTAGTTAAAAACAGGAACTAAAGTTATATATGTATTCTATAATAGTATAAAAGCGTGAGGTTTAAATTTAGTCCAAAACAAACACAAAATGAAGGATTCGATGAAATAAGAAAATTATGAAAAGTTGAGAGTCTACATTGATAAATAGAAAACTTATTATCAAAAAGAGGAATTAAAATTAAATGGGTATTCCGCGATGATTTAGAAGCACGTGATTTAAATTTAATAAATAAAATAAAATTAAAATGAAAGATGGATGGAAGGAATAAAAAAATTATAAATTAAATCATAAAACTATAAAAAAAACTCATTCAATCAACTTTTTGATTTTTTAAATAATTCAAAATTTTACAATAATTCGATTTAAATTTAAAAATAAATTATCAACAAAAATTTTCTAGATGCATAAAAAATTTAAAATCTTATTTAAACGATATTAAATTGTTTACTAATTGAATTAACAACACGTTTTTTTCATATTAATGTATCAGATTATCTCTGTGGTTTGTTGATTTCTTTCTCAGCCGAGTCGTTGGTTAAACATGAATTTTTTTTGTTGATTGTGTATGACTGTATAAGTTGTGTTTCTCACTTTCACGCGTGTCGGTGCTGCCTATTTCCGTCCAAAATTTCACGTAGACCAATGAGAAATGTTGACCAACAACTTTTGTTTTGGCTTAATTCTGCCTTCAGTCACCGTTAAACCCGTAGAAAAGGAGTTGAAATTCTTGATTAAATATTCACCTAATCCCTTTTGTATGTATTTTTTTTCCGGTTCGTTGAGCTTACTTATCTTAATTTTCCTTTTTAATGGCCGACCATCTGCTCTCCATATCTCTACAAGTGAATCGAATTCAATTTTTCCAACAAATAAAGCTCCCTCTTGTGGTATATGCATGATCTCCAAGCTAGCTCTTTCTCAATAGCCTCTCTCTCCACCACCTTCGCCCTTCACTGGCCCCATGCCGGTCCTGCGAAGGTCCCATCGATGGCCTCCTCCGGTGGTCATCCTTCTCTTCTCATTCATCTTCATCGTTTCTTACGCAAAGTCTGATGAAGTGGAGATACTGCTGAAGTTCAAATCAGCTGTTGAAAGCTCGGATCCCAACTTTTTCAGTTCATGGGAACAAGGGAACTCTGCATGTGACTTCGCCGGAGTTGTTTGCAATTCGAATGGGTTCGTCGCCGAAATCAATCTTCCCCAACAACGAATTCTGGGTTTCGTTCCTTTTGATTCAATCTGCGAGTTGCAATCACTGGAGAGGATTGATCTCGGCAACAATTCTTTCCATGAGAATGTTTCAGAGGACCTGAACAAATGTTCTAGCCTGCAATACTTGGATTTGGGAGTCAATTCTTTTTCTGGAAAAGTGCCTGATTTGTCTTCTTTAACTGGATTGAAGTTCTTGAATTTGAACAACAGTGGATTTTCCGGGATTTTCCCATGGAAATCACTGCAAAATCTCACGGAATTGACTTTCTTAAGCCTCGGTGACAATCCATTCGATGCAAGTCCATTTCCTCCTGAAGTCTTGAAGTTTGAGAAATTGTATTGGCTTTATCTCACAAATTGCAGCCTCACAGGACAGATTCCTGAGGGAATTCAGAATCTCACTCTGCTGCAAAATCTTGAACTCTCTGATAACAAATTGTCAGGTCCAATCCCAGCTGGAATTGCCAAACTCAACAAGCTTTGGCAACTTGAGCTTTACAACAACTCATTGTCTGGAAAATTACCTGTTGGACTCGGAAACATTTCGAACCTTACAAACTTCGATGCGTCTATGAATATGCTCGAAGGCGACTTATCGGAGTTACGATCGCTGAAGAATCTTGCTTCGTTGCAGCTCTTTGAAAACCAATTTTCAGGAAAGGTTCCAGTGGAGTTTGGTGAATTCAAGCACCTTGTAGGGCTATCACTGTATAGGAACAAGCTTACTGGTCAGCTTCCACCGAAAATCGGGTCATCTTCAGATCTTAATTTCATAGATGTTTCGGAGAATTTTTTGACAGGTCCTATACCACCATATATTGGTAAAGCAAAGTCTCTTGAATTTCTACGCTTGGCCAATAATCAGTTCTCAGGTGAATTGGCTACTTCAATCTCTCAAGCTTCTTCATTAGTCTTAATTTTCTTCATTAGTCATTCTCATGCATCTGAAAAAGGTCAGATGTTGTCAAGTAATTTAACCCATCACTTTTATTAGCTATGCACCTCATGCATGCATGCATGCATGCGTTACATCACAAATATAATTTATGCAATTTTTCTTCTAAAGAATCTGATTCTAAATTCTATTCGAATTTTTTTACCAGGGAAAATTCCAACTCCACCACCCTCGTTGAAGTGGTCGATGTTTCGATGAATAACTTAGTTGGAGAAATCCCTGCCTCAATCTGTAATTCGAGTTTCCTCGATGTTCTCAGTTATATGGGGAATAATTTGGTTGGAACAATTCCAGAGTGTTTTGGAAACTTGAGTTCTTCTCTTTCACACATTGATTTACAGCATAATCATTTCCATGGTAAAATACCAGAAAATTTTGCTAAACGCTGCAAGTTGCGAAGTTTTGGTATCAACAACAACGATGTGGAAGGGTCATTGCCCTGATCTTTGAGTAATTGCAAAGATTTATACTTTCTGGACGTTGGGAAAAACAAGTTAAATGACACTTTCCCAACTTGGTTAGGAAATTTGAATCAATTACAAGTTCTCGTCTTGAGATCGAATAGATTTTATGGACAAGTGAACAGCTCAAATATTGCAGTTTCCTTCCCTCGTTTGCATGCCATTGATCTTTCTCATAATAACTTCAGTGGGTACTTGCCTACTAAACTTTTTGAAAATTTGGATGCCATGAAAGGAGGATATGGGAAGCAAGTTGAAGCAGAGTACATGAAGGATGAATTGGCTAACGGAGTAGTGTATTATGTTCACGGTTTATCTTTTACAATAAAAGGGTTCGAAATAGAGTTTCCATCACTATTGACCACCTGGATGGTAATTGACTTTTCCAGCAATCAGTTCTCTGGAGAAATTCCTCAAACACTTGGTGAGCTTCATTCTCTAATTGTCCTAAACCTTTCTCACAATTGTTTAAAGGGTTCTATCCCTTCATCATTTGGTGATTTGTCAGAGCTTGAATCGTTAGCTCTCTCATCAAACAAGCTCCATGGAAGAATCCCAGTGGAGTTGAGTAATCTTGGATTCCTGGAGGTGTTAAACCTCTCTCATAACAATCTATCTGGACGCATTCCTCAGGGCAAACAATTCGATACTTTCACTAATGATTCCTACACAGGAAACCTGGGCTTATTCGGGTTGCCATTATCAACAAGTTCAGATAAAGATGAGGGAATTCCAGCAAAATTTTATAGAGAGAATGATGATGCTGATAATGAGTTGAATTGGAAATTTTCTATATTGATGGGGTATGGATGTGGGCTGGTGCTGGGACTGAGCATGGGATACATCGTATTCACAACAGGAAAACCACGGTGGTTCATTACACTCTTCGACACATTTCAACACAGATGATCTGCAAAATGGCATAGAACGAAACTCTTCCGCTGATTCTTTGCAAAACAAGCCATGGACACAGCATAAAACTTCATTTCTTGGTGGTAGGTACTGTTTCTGTAGTTGTGCTGCTTGGGGGCTTTGTTGTATTATGTTTTACATGGCCAATCTGAAAGGGGAAGAATGGTGGGCTATAAAGCTAAATGTGATCTATATGTGTGAAAAATAACCAAATATCGTGTTTGTAATAGAATTTAACTAGAGAATATGTTACAAAAAAAAATGATGAGCTCAACCAATAACCAGTTGGTCTATTAGATCCTTTAAGCAAAATCAGGGGTTTGAATCATAGTGTTTGCGAATGGAGTAAACTGGATTGGGAGGGTCGTTCTCGCCTCTGTAATACTCGATCTGGATTAGTCGGTTAATAGATTGGATACTAGTGATTAATTAAAAAAATGATGAGCTCATAAAATATGCTATGATCAATGCAAACACGCGTTTGTATGCCCCTATCAATCCACTAATTTTTACATATAAGAGTTTTTCGAATTTAATGCCATCTTATTTCACCAAAAGACAGTAATACATAATCATATTATAGAGTCAGCAGTAACACATAATCACATACTACAAAATCAGAAATTTCCTTTGTATAACCTAATTTTGTATGGAATACATAATAATGTACAATAATATTTTAGATTATAGCAATTTTATCATGTTATCCTTGTGACAAACACAAAGATATACGATCATATAGATGAAGCATATATATATATATATGGATCAGAATGATATATTTATACGAATAGGGAAAACTAAAGGGGTTTTCATGCAATATTTCTCAAAAATGCCGATAAGCTGTTAAGCATACCTCGTTGCCATGCAAATTTACTAGGGTTTTCAACTCTGGTCTTCGAAAAAGTGCAACATGCCCATGTCCCAGGAGAAAATCCAACAACTGAAAATCACATAAAATATTCAGTACAGCTTATATGCAGGGATTTTACGAGCACGATTGTCGTTCTCACCATGAGACCGGCATTGATGGTGAAGGATTATAGGCTTATAGCAATAATATTTTCTTGCTTTACAATTGTATATAAGCATTCTATGTTTTTTCCTTTACAATTCTCCGTCCTGTACTCTTATTATCACATGTTAAAAAGATAAAGTTTATGGTATTAAGTTGGTGAAGTAAAATAATGATTAAAAATAATCAAATAATAATATAGAAGCCAAATGTATAAAAAATATATAATGCAGCGACTTTTATATTATTTGACCAAAAAATTAGTTAATACTTGAGCAAGCGTCCAAGGGCTAACAATTGCCGCCTTCGCAATGACAGATGGACTCGATACTTCATTTGAAAACACAAAATTACATTATATAATTTGACAAAAAAATAGTTAAAATAAGAATTTGGATTTTGCAACTGGCAGCACCGACGGTTCATCCACGAATAGGGGGTTAAGCAATGGTCATGGTCCAACCCAGCTTGTCCCCGATGCCATCAGTTTGAATCCCTGTTAGAGTTGCATGCAATTTCTGAGCCACTGTTTCTGCTCCCAATTTGTATTCAATCCTGCATTTATATGATCGACAAGAGAAATAGATATTAGAAACATTTGCAGGCAATCATCATTTTGACAGATATTGAGCGAATAAATGGTGTTAAAACTAATCCTTTACCTTTTACCCTGGTAGGTCATACTTGCAACTGACTTCACAACCATAGCTGTCCCTGTGCAGAAGACTTCTTCAGCACCGAACACCTCCTCGATCGGAACGGCTCGTTCCTCGACCTGACAACCAGAGAGTTAATAGGCATTCGAATATATACGAAAACAGCATTTTATTAAGTCGAACTGGGGCAGAGTTTGATAGTAATTACTGATCAGTTACCTGGTATCCAAAACCTGAAGCAAGTTCCATGATGCTTTTTCTTGTGATTCCTGGGAGAATTGTTCCATCAGCTGTTGGAGTTGAGATAACATTTCCCTGTGCATTTCAACACATATGATTGTGTATATGTTCTTCACGATTCGTTCTACATATTAGACCGATTCCGATCGGTTTTACCTTGAGAATGAAGATATTACAAGCAGAACCCTCCTCGATTTTGCTTCCAGTTAATGCATCCAGAAACAAGACATCGGAGAACCCTTTAGCTCTTGCCTGAGTTAATGGCCTGTAAACCTGCATTTACAATCAAAATATGTTCATGATTACACAGTAAAATATAGATGCACAAAAGGAAGTCATACGGCAAACATTCTTACAGGCGAATAATTCGTGACAGCTTTAATGCCTCCAGTACCACCAGGAGTAGCTCTATGGACTTTGTCTTCAACCAACAAGTTCAGTTCAGCCTTCAAAGATCAAAGCACTATACTTAACATCCTGATTCCATTTCATTTCATATTTGCACACAAAAGAAAAGAAAAATTAAACCGATATAAGCAAACTGCCATGGTTTCGGGACCTTACCTTGTTATAACTGCCCACTGGGGAAGCATACACTAAGAATGTGTACTCTGATGCTGGTTTTACCCCCAGATTTTGACCAGTTCCTATAAGAAAAGGCCTAATATAAAATGATCCTTTTCCATAGGGTGGTACCTGTATCATACAAATAATTACTACGAAAATTCTTTGGCAAGAAGGGGTGTGAAGTCTTATGTTCGAATACCCATCGCTTGTTGGCCAGGACAGTCTTTCTAACGGCGTCTATGAATTGCTCCACTGTTGGTGATGGCATGCACATCCTATCCGCACCCATCTTCATCCTCATGGCATTCTCTTGAGGCCGGAAGAGGAGAATCCCCTCATCTTCCTTCTGATACGCCTTTAGTCCCTCGAATATCCCCTGATGCCACTATTTTTATAGCCTTAGGTGATTGGCATTGGTTGATACTCATCATACACTTAATCATAGCCTACCTAGACTCATTATATACCCTCAATAATGCATGTTCGATATCTATGATCGACACATAAATCATGTATATACATATTTATATCTGACACTCGTTGTTGAGTTCGAATGAGATTAGTGATAATGAAATGTAACCTGGCCATAGTTCAGTATTCCAGAAGGGCACAGCTCAATGTTACCAACAAAAGGACTTTAGTTCACAAATTCATCATCAACAGCAACAACAAAAAGGAAAACCCAAACAACAATTTGCAATCAAATTCAACATATAATCACTTGGTGAGCTTTCAAATCGATTACACAAACAACAAGGTTGATGAATATCATCATATAAGATGAAATTTAACGGAACTCAAAAGGCAGAAGAAAAGACATCCCATTTACATGATTAAAGATTGAAAAAAAAATTGTTTAATAGGATCTTACCATTCGGCCTCGTTTTGTTGAGATGAAGAACCCATTAATAGTCTATGTACAAGAAGGATGTTATTCACTTTAAATTAATAAACATTAATGATGTTATTATCTTGAGCTTAAGTCGGCTCATTGTAGCGTAGAAATGAAAATATCTTTGAAATAGCATCCAACTTGAGCAAAAATTAATAAGAAAACTATAATACTTGAGTTAAAAGCCAAACATTATAACTTCCGAACCATACGTGATCCTTATAACATGACTGAGTAAAAGTGATGAATCTAAACAAATTGATTTTTCTTCTTTAGGTTTTTAAATCTGTAATACCCAATATGGGGTTAGATTTTTTTTCAGTTTAAAAAAATGTGAAATGTTATAAGTCGATTGGAAAAAATAATTGTGTTATTTTACTATTATTATTAAGCAAATTGATGGCCATTCAATTAGAGATATATTTTTTTATTAAGGATAATGCATGGCCACTATGGAATCCATTGTTTTCCAGCTAAGAGGAATTTTATTTTATTCACAACTTGTTTGTTTGTTGAGAAAACAAATCCAGCCTCTTGGTAACACATTTGAGCTCTAATTTCCAATTGTTTTATGAGAATTTGCTTCCTTTCCCAGTCTGAGAAGAGTTCAGTATCATGGCTTAGTCAGTTGTGTCCTCTGCAGTGAAAGCAATCGGCAAGCTGCTAGCAGACGAAGCAGTCTACCTTTGGGGCGTGGAAGAGCAAGTTGATGGTTTGCTAACTGAGCTCAAGTGGAAGCAAAGTTTATTGTTGGAGAATGATGTTAAACAACATGAGAACGAGGGGATTCGTCTTTCGGTTGCTGAAATTAGAGAGCTTGCCTATGATGCCGAGGATGTTACAAGGATTTTGTTCTCAGGATTGTGTCCAAAAAGGAAGGTGGTATTTCCGGTTGCATCAAAAGATCTACCTGCATCTTGATTGAGGGATGGACACTCCACAAAGCACGTTCAAAGATCGAGGAAATCTTTGAGAAAATACTCAACTTGGTCCGACGATTTCAAGCATATGTCGTGATGGGATTGAAGGATGGAGATGGGCCGAGTTATTCAATCGCAAGGAGGGAATTAAGGAACCCAAACGATTTTTGTTAAATCGACTATCATTCATCATGATTCCTGGTGAACAAAGGCCATATCTGTGATGAGGAAAGCTAGACGAGTTTAATGGTGTGTTTTAGGTCTTGATTGGCGATTGATTAAGGTGGTCGGCGTGGGGGGTCTCCAACGATCAGCGGTGGTCAGAGATCGGTTGAATGAGCAGCTCGTTTGTTAGCTTTCTGGAGAAGAGAATGAAACAAAGTGGGAAAATAATAAATGAAAATTTGGTTCAGAGAGCACGTGGGTTTTGAAAATATTGATAAAGTGAAAAAAATGAAAAATCACAAGGTGAGTCACCCAAGTTTGGTGAGATCTTTACCTTGTCTATTTATTTCCAAGTGGTTATAGTTATGACATAATAGTTTCTATAAGATCAATTTAGTCCCTAATTTAAGTAATTAAATATTTTGATAGCATCATTAGTTTTTAGTTTTACCAATTGAGTCTTCAAATTATTATTTAAATTCTAATAAGCTAACTTTATGGCGAGGGAAATTATTTGGATACGATTTAGTGATTTTGATGGC